TGCAAAATATTAATTACAAAGTTCACACAACACAGTTTTGGGTTAGCTTGTGGAATATCTTCTCTCTCAAAGAAAAGCCAGGATTTACAACCGTGTACTTTGCTTTCAGAGATTTACATGGTAAATGCTCTTAGGTGGTTAAGAAAAGCCCAGTCTAAGTATAATTTATAGCTCTAATTAGTTGATTTTTAGGAAAATTTGACCACCGTAAGGGCAATGAAACCTGCATCTTCTCCTGGTATTCATAATCACTTCATTTTAAAATACTTCTGGAGCTGCAAAACTAAGTGTATTAAAGATGTAGATGCAGCTGCCTCGGAAACCAGCAGGAGAGAAGATCAAGAACTCATTTCTGTGCCATACAGCAGCCACCTGGATTTCCTCATATACATCCATACTTATACAGCAGCCTGGAAAAGGCTCTTAATTGCAGAACATCCCAGTTTCCATTCCACCATGCTAGCACTACTAAAACTATGTCTTTTCATAGAAAAGATGATCTTGTCACCGAAGGAAATAATATTACGAAAAACTAAATATAAAAGCTAAATATTAAAATTATATTGCTTTATTAGAAATAAACATTTAGAAATATTTTTCAGGTGGCTGCAAATCTGTGCAGTCCTTTTATCTCCTACCATGAATGGCAAAGATGGTACATCTCTGGAAATCACAAGTTTTTTGTTTAACGGAATAGGGTTTTTTAACTTTAAGAAGTTTCTATTGCAGTGGAGAAACATGTGTGTGTACATTAAAGCAACAATCCAGCAAAATGTTGTGTCTGTTGGAGCATTCCAACTTGATTAAACTTCTCTTTCAAAGTGCTGTCGTACTGCACGTCACTGAGCTCAGATCTCCCCTAAAGCTTGGCCTTTGGTGTGGAAGGATTTGTAGCAGTGACCTATTTTAAACTCCTGCTCATAAGTCAGAATTGTTTTGTTTTGTTTTTTTTTATTCCTAAATGAACACTTAAGAGTGAGATTTCTCTCACACAGATTTTGTTTTAAATAGCCATAGACCTTGAGGAGGCAAAGCAAGCCACGAGGTATTTTCTGCCAAGGTTGTGTTTGTTTTTTTTTTTTTGGTTACTTGATCTTAGTATTGTGCTATAAGCTTAAAAATGTACTAATTTTATTCATGCTATTCTAATAGAAGCATTAAAAGCAGTGTTAAAAATGCTGATTTCTTGCCAGTGTTTCTTCCTTAACACAGATAGTCACAGGAATATTTGTCTCAGTGCTGAGATTTCTTCTGGCTTCAGCTAAAATATTTCTATACAATCTAGAGTGACCTGGACAATGAGATCCTGAATTATGATGCTCAAAATCAGATGTGACTGGATCCTGGAGTACTTTTTCCCTCTCCCTGTGTTTATTTGCTGTGTCTACCTTTATTCTGAACTTGGACTCTAGTACAGAGTTCACAAGGCATCTAGCAGGGAATATAATTCTCAGTTTTCTTTCTACATTCTTAAATAGCAGAATTTCTTTTTTTCTAAGTATAAAATATGCAGTATATACCTTCTGAAAGGGTACAGGCCTGCCTTTGTTTAGGAATCCCATCACCTAGATCAGTTTTTAAATGAGGATACAGCTGTGTTTTTTCCCAAGTGGCCAGTACAGGGAATGACCACATACAGGAACAAGAACCAGCCCAGCTCAGATCAGGGAAGAACTTTGTTTTCCACAGGATCACCACAGTTTTTACTGGGTTCTTTCCCCAGTTCATAAAACGTGTGACAGTACAAACTGTGTGCCAAGTCTAACGAGGTGGCCCTAACCTGCATGCTTAAGCCCTGAACACACACAAAGAGCTGCGGTTTGTAATAGCTTATGGTTGCATTCGCAACAGGTTTTAAATTCTTCTGTTAAAACTGGTTAGATAGTGAAACACTTGGCATCCATTTCTTGTTAAAAGTGATACTTTACAGTGAAAGATAGTAGGCTGTACTCATTCCTACTTCTGCCATCTATCCTCTAGAAGCTGTGGCTATCAGACACCAGTTTTGGACTACAAGGGTGTATTTTAGCCACACACTCTTGCATTCTACTGGAATTTAGAAATTCCTTCTGAAAAAAAGCCCAACAAACACTGTACCACATTAATATGGAGAACTTGCTTACACCCATTTTAAAAAAATCTAATTATAATACTGAAGATCAGACCACTGATTTTTCTTGAGCTTTCCAACACACTGATATTTTTCCAAATTTAGTATTAATATCTAATGCTATTTTCTTTATCATACAGATGACAGTGAGGAAAAGTGACGATGAGAGTGCTAGTCACAGACTGACAGGTACTAAAATACCTGCTAGGCATAAGTACTCATGTGAACCATAAAAATATATTAGTATCTGTCTTGAGTACCATAAAAAGCGAGCAGATGACCCAATACACCTGACAGTTAAAATTCTAGTTGGGTTTGCATTACCTTTTTCAGTACTATAAAAGGAAAGGTTACTTCGCGAGATGTTCTTCAAGTTTATTACCTCCACAAATGTAAGCCTTTGAAGTGCATATACCTCTAGTTGCAAGCCTGAGAATATTCACTAATTATGACTTTTGGAGTTGCCCGTAACCTCACATGTGATTTTTAAAAAGGGTGCAAGTCCCACCTGTCTCCATTTTTCTTGCGACCTCCTCTGAGCATCGACCATAAATTATATTCTAAAGAAGCAGGAAAAGAAGCTGAAGTGGGAATCTATGGAGACAACATCCTCAAAGATCATCAATTACCTGGTATCTTTTAATCTTTGAGAATTGCTTCCATCAGATCTCAGCCTTTGGGAAATTATCAAACCTGATAGTGTTTACAACTCAGCATCAAGGTTAACAGCTACAATCGTACTGTTCTCTCCAAATAGCATTGCACCTCCGTGTCAAGTCAGGAGAGGAATGCCATGGAAAGATACAAATTAAAAAGGTGGAAAATTCAAACCAAAGCAAGTTTTCTTTCCACACCTCATGGAATTAAGCAGCTGATCTTGCTGTCAAGAAGCTCTTTCAAGCTGAGAACTTACAGTATTCAGAAAGGATATTGGATATGAAAGAGAACAGACAGAATTGTGGCACCGATTACAATGCAGGTTGGAAATACTAAAATTCAGTTTAGTCGTCAGGAATTTTTTGGAGGTTTTTAAACCCTCCATGACAACCAAGTTGCTTTGTCAACCTTATTTATGTAATTGAAGCAGAAAGTCCATATATTTTTAATAAGCGTGGAGATGAAATTTGAAGTACACATGCAGGCGCCCACAGCAAACTACTGTAGACCAGTGACAGTCAACAGCACGGTAGAGAAAATGCCATTAAAAGCCTGTTCAGACTGCCACTCCTAGAAAAATAACATCTCCTACTTAAAAAATGAATACCCTGGAGGTATTTAAAAGATGTATAGATATGGCACTTACGAACGTGGTTTAGCAGTGGACTTGGCAGTGTTAGGTTTATAGTTGGACTTGATGTTCTTGAAGGTCTTTTCCAACCTAAACGATTCCACGATTCTGTCTTTCTAAGTATCATCACCAGTCAGCTCTCTCTACTGAAAAAAAAAAGGTTTAAAAATATTTATTTCTTTACTACTGGTTCAAGATCACTTAACAAATCTGAATGCTGGGTTGACTAAAAGTCCAGCCTTAGAAGGTAATAGTTTTGTGACCACATTCTTAAACGCAAAAACTAAGAAATCTTTTGTCTGTATATTCACTATCATACTATATCCATGTACCATTTTATTTAAAAGTAATATATACCCTTTAAAAGGCTGTATTATCTACCATTCCTGAAAAATTTTTTGATCTTATATTAACATACTTCTGGTGTTTCTGGAATATTATTGCTTCTTTAGCACAGAAAACACACATTTGGTTGAGTCTTTCATAATGTCACATTCAAATATATCAAACTAAAGGAAAAAAAAAATCCTGTGCACTGTTTGGCACCACATAGTTTCTCACACTGTTCTTTTTTCCCCCCCTCTTTGGTCTAAAGCAAACATGCTGCTGCTGAAGAGGCTGGCAGTTATGGTTTTGGGGCTTTTTATGTAACCTGACTGTGGATGTTCACCACCACTATTTACTATTTATTCTCTATTGTCTTTTTCCACATATAATAATTTCTAAAACAGATTTGTAGTTATAAACATATATAGATATGTAGACACAGCAACACATAAATGCAAACAGAGCCACTCTAAGCACATTTTTAAGCATCCCTGAAATCCAAAGTCACTATTAAAAACATGAACAGTCAAGTTTTTTCACCATCTAGGAACAAGGCATTAAAAGCAGTGAGGCATATATAGAAAATTAATTAAGTTCTTCCAAAATTTACAATTAAATCATCCTAGTTCGGTGGATAAACCACGCACTATCTAGGATAGCAACGCTTTATGGCAGACAAACACATTATGGCAACATCTGTCTGACACTTTCATCCCTCCTGATTTTAAGAGTTGCAAAACCTCTTCCGACACTAGAGGTCAGCAGTTTACCCATCTTTAAATTCCACATTACGCCCCGTCAAAATTATACAAATGGGTTTTTAAATGAAATACAAACGGTATACTTCCAGCAGCACACTAAAAAAATTAGTTGTAGCTTTGCTGCAATCACTTACAGCTCAAACTTTCGGATAGAAAATGCCACCGTCACCTCACATCCTAAAGGTAAATAAATTGAGGTAGTTGACAGTTATAAATGTTTCCTCACAGAATATATTATAAATTATATATACAGTATTGGCATTTATAGCATCTTTGAACTCTTTTAACGTAGTTTATACTTTAACTTTTATTATATTTTAATTTTGTGTCCAGGTTTCACACAGGGACTTTTGTTTGTCCCTGGAATATTTACATATCATAACACTTGGAGTAACAGCCCATTTTTTAGAAGATGTTTTGGCATAGTAAAACAATTGCCATTTGCATTAAGGACTCCACCACCTATCTGGGGTTCATCTTCTGATTCCCAAGGAGTTTCATAGAAAAGAAAAAGTCACAAGTGCCCGGATTCATCTTTTGTCACAATGATCAAAAGCAGGTCTTTCAGAAGCAGCAAAAACCCTACCAGAAGCAAATATAAAAGAGAAAGAGTGAAATAGAAGTACGGTGGCTTGGGAATGAGTTTGTCAGCTTTTTGCAGCTCCGCAAATTTTTTTTTTTTTTTTTTAAACAAGGCATTCAGTTTCCTAAGTAAAGATATCTGGCCATTAGTAGCACTCATAACACGCAGAGGGTATGTATTTTGGAAAGACCAAAAGTTTCCTGAAAGGGACTGAGTACAGGTGTAAATTCAAGAGATAACAAACGGCCCTTGGCATGGGATGACAACCACCCATTTGTATTTGACAGTACAGTGTTTGAGGAAAGATTAAGTTAATCTGAGACACACAACTATACTTAGAACAAATTTCAAGATATTTTTTGTGTGCTTTCTTACAGAAAATAATTATAGGGTTTGTATTTTCCCATGTTACAAGCTGTGAGCTTCATGAGATGAAGGCGCTTCCTCTCTGTCCACCTGAACTACGATGATGCTACGGCTAGTATTTCTCATTGCAAGATGGATCTCCAAAACTGACTGTTTTCTACCACCACCTCCCAAACTGTCCCACACAAATTCGTGAAGCCATGCTGTGGCACCTCTCAGTATCCTCGAGTGTGATACTGGAGTGCCAGCAGCCAGGAGAGCAGAGTCATGTTGGTCTGTGGATCACCACTTAGTTAGGAATGGAGTATCAGTTCCTCTTTACCGGTGTAACTCAACCCCCAGGAAATATGACGGTAAAAGCAGGAAAAGAATTCACTGCCACACAGATATTAAATGTGTATCAAGTATTAACAGCACAGTTAGTGTGTTTACAAACAGGTAAACTGAAGTAACAGAAAACAACAGTTGTTATTATTACACTTGTATTAAAACTGAGCTCTACAAAGCAAATTTCATTCAGCTGCACTTCATCCAGCTAAAACATTTAAATAGCTCATACCTTAGAATCCAATCCACAGATAAAAATCTATCTAAATTTGTATTTAATGCTGAATATTGCTGTCATTGAAGAAGATCTTGACATAGGAGCGTAAATCTTTATTTAACTATTTTCTCCCTAAGGTCACATCCACATCAACTCAAAGCAATTCCCCAAGAACTTCTTAAAATTCATAAACTCAACACAAGCTAGATAGTGGGTTCTAACACTTATCCCTAGGTTTGCCGAGTGTTCCTATCTGACTTGAGAAATGCTGCTGGTCATGGACACTGCCAGGCAGAATTTGGGCAGAAATCAACCTTTCCTCCCTCTGAGAACTGTAGTTTAACTAACTATAAATAAATGATTAACATACTATGAATGAAATGTTCTCTATATATCAGCAAGGCAGAATCTGAACTTTTCTACACTAGGAAAAAATATTGATATTAAATATGTAACGTTGATAATCACACTTTACATGTGTAGGAAATAGGATTTAAGGTATTCGAGGCTGATGATGGGTTTGGGATGGAGGAATGAATTCTACTGCAAAAGTCACAGATCCTTCACTCAGAAAGACCATTCTAATGATGTGTAGCACCAACGACGTGCATAGCATCTAATGATGAAATCAAACATATTTAAACACCAATCACGCCATTTCCATTAAAAAGAACATAAATAAGATAGATACTGAGAATGTAGGAAGGTGCAGGTGGTTGCTACGATCATTCCAAATTCTGGCAATGGAAGCTGGAGAATGACAGGTCATCACCACTCTTAAACTCCCTTTTTCTTCATCACCCAACTTCAGAAATACATCATACAGCAGCAAAGCAGCTTTAACTTACCCTGCCAGCATCCTTCAGAGACACAAAAGAAGTGCCTGGAAATGGTGAGAAAAGCAACTCTTGGACTCCTTCATTAAGAGCACGACAACATCTGCTTCCTGACTTTATGTTCCATTTTTTCTATACTTCATTATAAGAAAGTAACCTGCCCAAATTAAAAACTAAAAAGGAAAGAGGAGTTTTTAGAGTGGTTAGGTTTCTGAAGAAATATATTACTGTCCTCTGATGATACAGAAGAGTTAGCAATGAACTTTTTCTGCTATGTTTCCTTTTTTTTTAATTTGTGTTGGCACACTACCAACAAAAAGTGTCATTATAGAAAGATAAGGTAATTTGAAAGTTTTCCAGGGAAGAAGTTTTCTAGAGGAAGGAGACTTGTCAACCCCTCAGTTAAAAGCTTTGTCTCAATTCTTCCTGGGAAATTCATTAACAGAACTTTGGAAGGGCATTTGAGGCAGTCTTGCAATTTCAAGTTTTTCAAGGGGAAATGTAGTTATCAACACAATATATCTTTATAGATTTAAGTCAATAAGAACTAAAGTAAAATAGGAGTTTTCCAAAGTAGTTTTACTTAGTGCTTTTTTGGAAATGCTCTGAACAGAGAGCAAAGCACTACTTTGTGTGTGCATAGTACTTTCACAGTTAAAAACATACCTATACAGTAAAAGATGTCAGCCAGTTATCTTATTCTCCTGCTATTTCACCTGTTTTGCCAAGAATATTTTCTACAACAGATATGACAACATCACTTACTAAAAGACTTCTGCAGACATTTTTGACATTAGGGACTTCCCATTCTATCTTGTTTATCTCTTCACAAAACAGATCTCGACTGCCATAGATCTTCATAGGATATGCTTGTTCCTAGCATTACAAACGAGAAGTTAGTCTTACAGCAGGATCTAACTTTAGAGATCTCTTCTCTTTCTAGAAACTCTGGGGGTACACTCCTCAAGGAGAGACTCTACAGCCTACCTTAGAGAAGACTGACTAGTGTTCCTGCTTTGCCAGTTATCAAGCCTAGCATAAAGGACACAGCCAGCATAAAGATGAACCAATAACCAAATTGTACTTGATACACAAGGGTCAGTCCATGGGTGAGTGCTGGGGGTACAAACCAGTCAGATTATATAATCGACATCAATCCCACTGACCCCAACAACGACACCGCACGGCCAGCAACGGGTAGGATAAATGGTGACATGCATCTCCCATAGAAGGGACGGGAGACAACCGAGTCAACAAGCCAAACACATCAGCCCAAGGAAGCCACACACTGAATCTCTGCACAGCCCGTGTTTACAAAAGCCAGACCTGACTGGAGCCCATTCCCAGGGAGGCGGGAGATCCTTCCCCAACAGAGAACTCTGCACAGGGCATCCACCTCACAGACAGACACTGCCCCTCCTGCAATGGTCCCAGCTGTTATCCCTCCGTGGGACCCCTGACCTTGGGTTACTCAATGGGGGACACCTGGGGCTTGTTTATTCTCCCTGCAAGGCCCCACCCTGGAGGAAGCTTAAAGGGAAACTCACCCCCCTTTGGGAAGGGCTATGGGAATCACCCAGATGTCAACCTTAATTTGGGGCTTGGGGTTGAAACCCCAGCATTTCAGTTCCTTGTTAGTCTTTAGACCAAATCTGCTATCAGTGAGGTAGGCTGTGAAAGTAGGAACAAGACTAGTAGACAATTCCTGAAAGACAATTTTTGCTGGAAGTATAGAAATATCAGCCATGGAGGAGGATTCTCAGTTATTTCAGCTGATCCAGCCCCCTGTTGGACTTCAGACTTGAACCAGACACAAAAAATGACATTGAACAATCACTGGAGACAAAAAGAAAAAAAAAGACGACTCATTAGTATCAGAAAAATATTCCTCAGTGCTTACCTGGATTTCTCAACTGTACCATATAGTTTGCAAACGTGCTTATGCAGAGGAGACCATTTTCCTTTTAGACATGATGATGACTTTGATTTCCTCTGAGATTCTAGGCCTAAAGTTTTATGGATGTGTATTTAGGAAACAGAGTTTAAAAAAACACATATTCCACCTCTCGTGTAATTTATATACTTGGCTCACTTTTATTTTTACCTTCTTTTTCCTCCCTCTCTGTGTTTACTACAATCCAAACCACTCTTTCTGTTCCTTATGAGAACGAAATGCACAAGCTGCTGATCTTCAAATCCTGCTCAAAACCCAAAATATTTCTCCGTTTGCTAGCTTTGAAGAAAACAACTTCAAGACAAAGCACTTCCAGTTTAAAATCCTCTTTAAAGCCTCTACTGTGACACACAGAATCACTGGTTCTGTGACACGAGACAATCACAGATTGTCTTACATCTGTTCTGAAAGTGTGGCACTCTTTCTTTACTGTCAATTAGGACTAGTCTGGTTTTCCTAGTAAGAGCAAGGTCAAACCCAATAATTATCTTTTGGAGGGAATATCTTGGACTGCCTAAACAGGCCGTTTGGACCTATTTTGTTAAGAGAGACATTGTCTTCTCTGGTTTCTCAGCAGACACAGCCAGCTGTTCCTTATGGATTATTTTTCAGTTATTACTTAGGTTTTAAAGTCCATTTAGTTAGAGTGGGAATTGGTGCTCAACAGAAAATGAACAGAGAGCAGTTACTTTCTTGTGGACTGTAGCTGAACCAAACAAAAGCCCCGTTAGGCCCGTGCAGAGCACGCTCAGACACCACATCTCTGTGCTGTTAAGTGGCACAGGCACAGTGACAGTCTGGATTCCAGCAAGGTTTGTTAGCTCTAAACTCAGCAGCAGCTGAACTGGTCAGAAATGTATCATCACGGCACTTAAAACTGACACCTGTAAGTCTGCAGGCTGGGGAATGAGTGCTGAGAGCCAGCTCAGCTCCGGGCACCACCTAAAAAAGCACCAGGAGATAGAGCCCTCTGAATGGATCTGCAAGAGCCAGCTGGCCCCAGTGTCCAAATTACTTCATTTTTTCCCATTAAAATACCCCCAACTTCCATGACCTCAGTAATGGGGAGTTGATTACAAGTTCCCTCTGACAGAAAACATCAAATCCAGTAGTTGCAGCTGATCAAGAGCAATATAACGATTTCTCATCGATTTGATGGTCTGAAAAGTTGAGTGCCAATGCAGGCTGAGATGAAAACACAATCAAGGCTGAACGTATTCTGACATGCTCTGAAATATCTATTGCGTTGGCAGGTTTCTGGCCTTTATCTTATGGTCCCCTGGATGTACCCCCGTATGC